TCTCTCTCTCTCTCTCTCACATAACTTAGTTGAAGTTTCGTCATAACGTTCAGTAGAGCCAAAGCCAAAATATATGGAACAATCATAACTCATTTTGTGGTGCAATGCATTGTTTAACTTGTAGTTAGGAGTTCTTGTTAGGTAATTTGTTCCCTTAATTGATCAACAAACACAATCAATGACTAGTTACACTTAAATTTAACTATGCAAGTTGGAGAATCTTTCAATTCTTTTCTCCTCACATGAGCTGTGATTGAAAATAGAAGTTATGCTTTCCTCGAAAAAGGTCTCGATATAAAATCGTATGCAAAGAAAATTGCGCCACTTGTAATATCTTGTCGCGTATTTTATGCAAAGAAGGGTCGCAGCAAGACCCTTTTTTTAATCTTTTCATATATTATGGCTTGGTAAAAAGTCAACTCTTTTCCTATTCAACCTTGCACAAAACCAGGATCCATGTTGAAGCCACATGCTGTTGTTAGTATGTTCACATGTCAATTACATGATAACGCTTACAAGAAATGCTAACTCATGTTACTCCTAAAGGACCACCTATGGCATGCACAATTGTTTGTGGGTTTGACTTTTGAAATTCATTTCTTGATTTTTCGATCGAACTTTATTTTTTAAATAATTATTTCTGAAAATAATCTTTACCAAAAACACGGGTTTCTACAAAGTCATAAGGTCATGTATAAAGATTGACACCCGTCCAGTACAGAAAGATCAAGAAAATTGGTGACCAGATAACAGCAAGTCGACAATCGAAACCTCACTGAACGACGATTGTAACTATAATGATCTTATCAAATATATCATTTGAATTACAATCGAGAAATATTGAAAAAAGTAATACATATTTAGAAGAGATAATCAACATGGAAAATCAATATACAACTATGAATTCTTTCTAAACATCATTTCCTTTACATCTATAAATCTCTCAGTGAAAAACTCCACCACAAATTTATATATTTTCTGACCTAATTTATGAAGCTTTTACAATACATACAAGTGTAAAACAAAATCAAAAGATCAAAAATTCAAATAAGAATCTCAAGAAAATTTCTTGTTCTTGTTATGAATGTAAGAATAATAATTGTGATTAGAGTTTAAGTTGTACTTAGACCCCTTAAGCCTCATCGAATAACTTAATCTCTTCCAAAAGCAACGCCTTCTAGGGGTCAAAACTCCGGTCACATGACTCGTGTTCGTCTTAATCTTGCTACGCTTAACGGCCAACCCACGTACTTCCGGCGGCCGGTAAGTACGGATTAACGGCCACTTAACTGCGTTAAAAAATGGATGACATTTAATATCGGTTGCACCCCTGGTACACCCTAGCCTCCTCCTCGGGTCCTTAACCAACAACTTCTCTATCAAGTCCCGAGCCTCGGCCATCCCGGGTTCCTCCCTTTCTCCTTCTGCTACTTGGAACCTCACCCCTTTAGTAGATGCTATATTGCGCAGGGTGGATTCTTTACTCGCTCCCTTAAACGGGGTCGTCCCATACAACAACTCGTATATTAAAATGCCAAATGCCCACCAGTCGACTCCGTTACCATGGCCGTTACCGTTAACTAACTCCGGCGCCAAGTACTCATGGGTCCCGACGCACGATCTTGAAAACGCTGTCGTTGGCTCGGCTACAAACTCAGTGACCCGTTCCTCCTGTTTCCAGTCACCATAACAACTTTTTCTCGAGCCCAACTTAATCTCTGTCCTATTTTCCAATTTTGGCGAGACATCAGAATTGAAACACAAATCAAAATCTGATAACATAATGTGGCCATCTTCACGGATCAATATGTTTTCTGGTTTGAGATCACGGTATACGATGCCTTGTGCATGTAAATATTCAAGTGCTAGTAGAATTTCAGCTGTGTAGAACCTGACCGCTTGAACCAATAACCGGTTTCCGGGTTGCTTGCTGAGCAAGGAATGTAAGTCACCATTGGGACAGTAATCCATGAGAAGGCAAGTGTAATGAGAAACTTCCAAGTGAGCATAGAGTGTAGGTAGAAAAGGGTGATCAAGCGAGGAGAGGATTTGAGCTTCAGTTTGAACGTGAGTTAGTTTCTTGGACGTCAAGGAATCCCGGTCAACGACCTTGAGGGCGAAGTTTGCGTGATCATAGTCGCGTAGACGACAGAGGAAGACACGGCCGAGGTTACCAGAGCCGACAAGGCGGAGAAGTTTAAGATGACGAAGGTGAAGTGCTCCGTCAGAGGATAACGTGGTGACGGCCTTTATAGCTGCCCAGTTGGGATTGTTGTGGCGGGAGTGAGAGCGGTGGTGGAG